GTGGTGCCTCCCTGTGGTCCCTCCCCGTGGTGCCTTCCTGTGGTGCCTCCCTGGGGTCCCTCCCCATGGTCCCTCCTGTGGTCCCTCCCCGTGGTGCCTCCCTGGGGTGCCTCCCCATGGTCCCTCCGTGTGGTCCCTCCCTGTGGTCCCTCCCCCTAGTGCCTCCCCGGGGTCCCTCCCCATGGTCCCTCCGCGTGGTGCCTCCCTGTCGTCCCTCCCGTGGTCTCTCCACGTGGTGCATCCATGTGGTCCGTCCCCGTGGTGCCTCCCCATGGTCCCTCCGCGTGGTGCCTCCACATGGTCCCTCCCTGTGGTGCTTCCACATGGTGCTTGCACGTGGTCCCTCCGTGTGGTGCCTCCCTGGGGTTCCTCCCCGTGGTCCCTCCATGTGGTGCCTCCACGTGGTCCCTCCCCGTGGTGCCTCCCTGGGGTCCCTCCCCGTGGTCTCTCCACGTGGTGCCTCCCCATGGTCCCTCCCCATGGTGCCTGCATGTGGTCCCTCCCTGTGGTCCCTCCCCGTGGTGCCTCCACGCGGTCCTTCCCCGTGGTTGCTCCGTGTGGCGCCTCCATGTGGTCCCTCCCCGTGGTGCCTCCCTGGGGTCCCTCCCCATGGTCCCTCCTGTGGTCCCTCCACGTGGTCCCTCCCCGTGGTGCCTCCCTGTCATCCTTCCCGTGGTCCCTCTGCATGGTGCCTCCACGTGGTCCCTCCCCGTGGTCCCTCTGTGTGGTCCCTCCCCCTGGTGCCTCCCCGTGGTGCCTCCCTGGGGTCCCTGCCCATGGTCCCTCTGCGTGGTGCCTCCCTGTGGTCCCTCCCCGTGGTCCCTCTGCATGGTCCCTCCCCCTGGTGCCTCCCTGGGGTCCCTCCCCATGGTCCCTCCCCGTGGTGCCTCCCTGTCGTCCCTCCCATGGTCCCTCCGCGTGGTGCCTGCATGTGGTCCCTCCCCGTGGTCCCTCCCTGTGGTGCCTCCACATGGTGCCTGCACGTGGTCCCTCCCTGTGGTCCCTCCGCATGGT